AAGCACTTATGTGAACACAGCTGAACAACAAATTTTCACATAATAAACCAATGTATATACAAGTCACACAAAAAGATTTCACCAGACACACAGAATCATCATTTGGTTACACAAAGTACTAAAACACAGCTTAAATTTCAATAATCTGTTCCATCTATCCCATTCCTTTTATCCATCAAATGCACGCATTTAAATGAAAATTTTAAAGCTATTACATATGCTTTATTTAGTGAGGTGCATAGTAAAGACTGCTTTGCGCAGAATTCTTTGACCTTAACTTTGTTAAAACAAACACTTTCCTGCACAAATAGGACGTTTCTCCATAGCCAAATGTCATACACGTATAAGAAAATATAATGCGCGCAGGCATTTGCACATACAAGCAAAACATTCACAACTGCACATATTCATCACTAAAAACTGGGCCTTTGAATGCAGTGTACTGCAATGAGTGAGAATGCGATGAGTGTATAAACACACATTTACACAGCATGAATAATTTAGCCCCCCAATTAAACCTTTGTTTACATGACTTGACACTAAAACCATTAAACTTTGTCCAAATCACCATTTTTAATCGTAATTCCCCACAAACAGCACAGAAGGAATGACATAGAAGAGGGAAAGATCAATAACCCATGGGTACCCAAACTTTGCATTGCTACAACAATTGCAAGTGTAAGAAACAAAGAAACACATCAAGTTCGTATGTGTTTTACCTAAAATCCTTTATAATTAATATGCTGTTTGGGAAACTATTTTAAACACATCGGTAGATTCACACTAAAGACTTTACCCAATCCGTGATGAGAATTCCAAAAATATCGGATTATTTCAGAAGTGAGGAGTTAGGAGCTTATCAATCGCTGCCAGTCAGAGGAACCAGCCTGCCAGAACTGTAAGAAATTAAAACTTGCATACTCTTGAAAACTCTGCACACCGCATGAAGAATTTCTTAGGGGCACGCATCTGACCACGACAGCTCCTCTTAACAATCTCTACCCACGCTGCCATCTCTGAGTGATTTGCATCGGTTCATAACAACAGTGGAACTTTTATAACACATCAGTTGTCTCTGAGGTCATTATGATTATACTGTAAGTACTATCAGAACTAGTTACAACTAAACATACAAAAACTCAGTATGGGCTGTGTCTTAGCTCAGTACGGTTATACGTCACTCTCTAAGTACGCTAAAACCCTGCTGAGCAGTCTTTATCTATCTTCAAAGAGTACAGTACTAGGAGAGAGTGTTCTGTTCCATTTTCTTTTGAAAAACCTCTAATTCAAGTAGATGTGTTCATGCTCTCACATGCACGTAATTGTAATGGATAGGTTTCTCAGCTCATATTACTTTCTGTTCCTAAAAACTTGTACTATAATCCAATTCAGCCTTTCTGCATAGAATAAGCCAAACGTTACAAGCACAAACACAGAAAAGATCAGAACCATTTTGTTTTAAAATACTGTTGAAGAGTATGGTTTTCATATACGTTCAATTTAGATGAATACTAATCGATTATATGTCAGAAACTTCCCATTTTACAACACTAGCCATCAGAGAACAAACTACGTTCCCCATCTCAGCCCTTAAATCAAGCTTTAGGATGACTATCAAAATTATTCTGATGAAAATACATGTTTGACAAGCATTTTAAGACTGCCAGACATATGCATCAGCTGTAGTTACTTGACCAGTTTAACTTCTCCTAACTGAATCTAAACTCAGCTTCTGTCTCATGAACTAACATCAATGAGATATACCTTAGTTTCTCATCATATTAGTCCATTATGCAGATGACATAACTGCACTTCAGAGGCATTAAGATAGTTTAAACCATTTAGCTAAAAGATCATTGCATCACTATACCTGCACAGGAAAACCTGTTCCCGAACACAGAGCAAGCTCAGCTCAAGCTCTTCCAATTACATTTACTGATACCAGAACGGGTGTCCACTACAAAATATTTTTAATATATCTGTAAGAACAACAATTGTATTTGACTAGAAAAATTTTTATCACTAATACCTAAGAGTTCAATGATGGTAGTGTTGAACACTACAGATCTGCCACTCCTCTCAAAGAGGACAGGACTGCTCTATCCCAAGTGCCAACATTCCTTACACATATGCATCTCCATGGCTTCTATAATCATTAACATTTCCAAAAGGAGGAAAAAAATTAACAGAGTGATTTTTCTCATTGTGAAGATACTTATCAAGAACATCACAGTATATTTTATAGAGAAAAGTAGCAAGTTAAGTATTTCTTAGTAGCAAAAAATCTAATCCTATTTTTTTTACTTGTCACGTGTTTTTAACATAATGAAAAGGTAATGAGCTACATGTAGTATTTCAACTAAAACAGTAAAAATAATTTTAATCTAAATTAAGATATTTTAACTACCTCTTACAACTGTATTTTTGTTATTATCTGTATATTTATTCCTTAGTTAATACTTTTAGCATCTTCTGAGAAATGAGATTAATGCGACTGTGCCTTTTGTTCAAGAAACACAGCTTCTGACCTCACTGCCAAATGACAACCTAATTTGTCAGAAAGACAGAAATCTCAAACATGTTAAAATTTCTAGATTTCCCCCGCATTGGCATCTAGATAAAGTAAAAGATCCGGCGTCTCCAGTGTGAGCTCAACAGTTATCTGTTCTGCTTTGCTTGCTGAAAGGCAAATCAACACATGTGTAGATCCAAACCAGCCACAGGGCATAATTACGGAAAGTGAAAGGAGATGAGTGACAGTGGGAAAGTTTATAGGACATGTGGCAGAAATTAAGCACATTAGCTAGGTGTTGGAAGGAAAGAGACAGAAAGGACGTTAGCACATGGTGGTATGCTGAGGAGATCCGAGTGTGAACCGGGGCAATGGGGGTGAAAGAGCTGGGTTGTTATCTTAGGGACCAGTATGCACAATTAACAAGTCAACAGGAAGCCAGACTTCAGTAGCTCTTCCCTTTTATCCAGTAACAGCTTTACGATTCCCCTACTCTTCTCTTAAAGTGGGGGGCCGGGGGGAACCCAAACAAAACCCAAGAACTCTAAATTTTTAAGCGACATTTCAGTATTTACCGAACAGGTCCAAGCTCCAGCACCGACCCCGGGCGGCAGCCTGCTCGCTCAGCTCGCAGATACACCCTCCTTCCCCGAGGCCGCTGGCCCCGGAACAGCCCCTCTCCGGGGCGGAACTCC